TGAAAACCCACCACCTGAAATAAAGAGACTTAGCATGCAAGCACGCTGTTAGTAAATCGAATGCAGCGTACCTACAAACGCTGCGCCGGTTCTGCCTACGTTCTCTGCAGGACCCGTCGTCGCTTCGGTAGTGGTCCCGAGTGGCCTCGCTCATGGCTCACTAGGCCTGCCTGACTCAGGCACTCGCGACCGCATGTGCTACAGCACCATGCGCTCGATGTCGATGGAGTACAACCCATCGGTGCTTGCCGCTTCCGCACTTGCCGCTTCTTCTCTGCATGTATGAGGTCTTTTTCCCGCACTTCGGCAACTGCCTTCATGATTAGATCGCGCCATGCACGCCGATCAACCGCCTTTGATTCCCATGACCTGCAATCAAGATTAGAACGTGAGAGGCTCACTTTGATCATGTCCTGGTAACGTAACTTTGGTTTCCCCACATGCCGCTTCCCAATACTCAGCTGACCGTATAAGAGTTGTTTCGGTATCCGCGTTGAATCCATACGCCACACATGACCGAGCCACCTCAGGTGTCTCAGTAAAAGTATGCAGTCCACTGCATACATCCCACTTTGTCGCAACACTTCCGTGTCAGCAACTCTGTCGCCCCAACTGATGCGCAAAATTCGTCGCAGACACTGCTGATGGAACCGCTCGAGATATCGCACATCCCGACGGTACATCGTCCACGTTTCACTGCCGTATAGAAGAACGGACAGCACCATGGATTTGTACACCATCAGCTTCGTGCCAATGGTAAGCTGATGGTTGTTCCACACTCGGTACTCTAGCTTCCCGAATGCCGCCGCTGCCTTCGACACGCGGATACGAAGCTCACCGTGAAGCTGCTGATCAGTCGACATCACACTCCCAAGGTAGCAGAAGCGGGAGGTGGTTTCCAATACTTCAGCACCAATGCTGATTCGCGGCAATATTGAAGATTGCACCTCCGGTGAAGGCTGAAAGAGACAGACAGTTTTGCTTGTGTTGATGGTGAGCCCGAATTTGGCCGCTGTCGAAGCCAGAGCACTAGTCATGTGCTGCAACTCATCCGCGCTGTGTGCAAACAACGCACAGTCGTCAGCAAACAGCAACATACGGATAGTTGTCTCACAGACTAGAGTTCTCGCACCGAAACGACGGATGTTCAGCAACCCACCATCAATACGGTGCTCCACACGAACACCGTAAGCACAAGCGGCATCAAAAGCACAAGACATCATTGCATGAAGATAGATATTAAACAGGGCAGGAGCTAAGACACAGCCTTGCTTCACACCAGAGACAACTGCAAAGTCATCCGAGGTCTCTCCACTCAGCTGCACCTCGCTCGCATACCACTGTGCAGACATTCAATTAAACTTACAAACTTACGCGGGCAACCAAACTTACCCAACACCAGCCACAATGCCTCGCGGTTCACCGTATCAAATGCCTTGGTGAAATCAACAAAAAGCGAGTACAATGGCTGGTGTCGTTCTCTGCACTTCTCCTGCAACTGACGAGCCGCAAACACCATATCTATAGTGCTGCGACCCGAACGGAATCCACACTGCTCTTCCGCCACGTTAGGTTCCACAACCTGACTGACGAGGCGGTTGAGCAGGATTCGGGCAATCACCTTGCCCACACAACTCAGCAAGTTGATGCCACGATAATTCGTGCAACATTGCTTGCTACCTTTGCCTTGTACAGTGGTAGCACAAGGGCATCCTTCAGCTCAGGAGGCACCTCCTCCTCAATCCATACGCGTTGCACCAAGTGGTGCAGCGCAGTCAACAACGCGGGTCCGCCGTGTTTCAATACTTCAGGCGGGATCCCGTCGGCTCCGGCACACTTGCCGTTTCGCAGCTGAGCAAGTGCCCTCTGCGTCTCATCCAGTGTCGGCGTGTCCGCCAGACTCGCCTTCACATCGTGCTGCTTGAGGCCATTCAAAGTAGGCCAGTCGATCTCTGAACGGTTGTTCAAGAGACAGTCAAAGTGATTTCGCCAGATCTGCATTATGTCTGCAGTCTGTGTGCAGGTAGCGCCTGAACTACCATCGATCAGTGTCCTCAGCGGCTCCAATCTCGGTCCATACACCGCCTTCAAGGAGTCAAAGAATTCCTTGTGTTGGCGGCGTTCGGCGTAGCATTCCATCTGCTTCGCCTTCTCCGTCCACCATGCATTTTTTAATGCGACGGAGCTCTCGGGTCAGTCGCCGTCGAAGTTTGCGAAACTGACTCTTCTTCCCCAAGTCACTGGGGTCTGCCACATGTGCAGCAAATGCTGCATTCTTCTCCGACACCAATGCGCTGATCGTCGCATTGTTCTCATCAAACCAATCAGGCCGCTTACAGTTGGTGCGCCCGATGGTCTCCTCGGCAGCAGCTGTCACCTGGTCGCGAATGTGGTGCCACAGGTCGCCCACTGTGGCTATGCAGTCCACATCACACAGGCGTGCAGCCATCGCCTTCTCCAGCTCAGTACGTTTCGCCACAGTACCGAGGGAGAGAATGTTAAATTTACGCCGATTCACGGCGGGAGTGCAATACATAGATTTACGAAAATATATGTACAGTTTGGTCCGCACCAATTTGTGATCAGTGCCACACTCAGCTCCACGCAGTACACGTGCCATGCGCACTTCACGCATATCACGCTGACGTACGATGACATAGTCGAGCAGATGAGCGTGACCACTCCGTGGGTGCGTCCAAGTTGCTATATCACTCGCACTCAGTGCAAACCGAGTGTTCGTGATCGTCAGGCCGTGAGTGGCACACAGTGAGAGCAGCCTGTCACCGTTCGCATTCGCTGAACCAATGCCATGCGGACCGATAACATCTGTCCACACCGATGCATCACGCCCAACGCGCGCGTTGAAATCACCCAGCAGAAATAGTCGGTCGCTCCTCGGCACAGACCGTATCACGGAGGATAGCTCAGTGTAAAATTGATCACGCGTGTCATCAGGATAACACATGGTCGGACCGTATGTGCTTATAAAGGTGGCAAACTTACCTCTTCGAGTCGTAGGCGAACAGTCATCAGTCGCGCGCTGATGCCTGTTGGTTCACCCACCAGCTGGCCATGGAGGCGATCGGATATTGCAAATCCGACCCCATGATCACGTGGTGCTGAGGCGGCGTTGTCCACCCAGTAGAATGTGTAGCCAGCACCTGCTTCATGCAACTTACCTTGCTCAGCGAGCCGGGTTTCACTGAGCGCCGCAATATCGATGTGGTAGCGCGCCAGTTCCATCGCGACGAGTGCAGTGCGTCGCTCCGGGCGCTCGCTGGAGTTCCGGTCCAGTAGTGTGCGCACGTTCCAGCACCCGATGCTGAGTGCTTTGCGCGCAGGCATACGATTGCATTGGTGGTCGTTGTTCTTCGGAGGTTTGCTTGAGGGACTCCGCCCGGAGCCTTTGGCTCAATAGCCTGACCCACAAGGCAGTGGGGAGCAGATCCAGCTCGGGAATGTGATTGCAGAGACAGATTGGGATCTGCTTGACGGCCGTCACACGCAGCCTTAGAGGTACTGGAACGATTCATATATGTTTTGCGACCGTAGTAGGATACGCATCTGCGACCACGGCCAGACGCATGTGGGTTTTGGCGGGTTTGCACCAATTTGACCAGGGGCTGCCTGGCTTGAGGCGGGCAGTAGCAAACCATTGAACACCCGGAGGTGCCCTCCCACCGTCAGAAACAATGCGTGGCGCTCGTGCTCTACGCCAATCGAGCTGTGAGCTTATAACCCGTAGACCTGTTGTCTCCCATGGCTAAGTTTTACGGGAAGAGGGCCATCGACCACTTCCTAACCTCCGAAGAGGATGGACTGCCAGGGCGCCCACACCTGACAGGAGAACGACTCGGGTCCTCAGCCAAAGCCTTCGATTAAACGAACACCCGAAAGACAGCGGGTCTAGCACATGGTCAGTTCACTGACTCATGCGGATTGGTGTCCTGGATCTTAGCAGGGAGAAGGGCGAAACCCAACTCCCACCCAGCGGTCACCACGAGGAGGCGCCCAGGACATGAGCCAATGGCACAACAGTAGCAGCAGTGGGTAGACCATCTGTCAGGATCTAGCCACCACCAGCCTCAGCGCACCATAGACTCTCCCGCTAAGAATATATGGACAATCAATTATATGTTAGAAGATGGACCATTCGAGAGGCCAAAGTGGTACACTGTGAGGAAGGGTTAGGCCAAGAATTTGGTGAGACTTGTGAACATCAAATGGTGGGAAGCTGGTGCTGGAGAAATACAGGTGGCATCGATCTAATGACAGTGGGATGTGACCACTGCAGGTTAGGGCATATTCTAGGTGGGATAGCAGAAAAAACCATATGGTGCATAGAACCTACAAGGACTGAACTGCGTGAGAGTGACGTCAATACGCAATGAAAACTTATGTGGGGAAGCCGGAAGACAAGATAAAATCGGAGATCGGCTTACTAAATAAGGAGAGAATTACGGGAATCATGACAACTAATGCTGTTAAGGTGTGAGTTATAGTGCCTTTCGTCGGCAGAGCTTAGATCTTTTACATCTCATGGTATTTGGAGGTCAGAAAGCAGACCGTTCAGACTAGGCCAGAGAGGGCAGTGTGTTTAGGATAGTCAGCCAACTGAAGGTAGGAATGAAAGCAGAAAGTGTCATCAGAAATGGAAGAGGTAAGGAGGAACGTGGCTATATGAAATCGTGGTCAACAAGTCGAGCAGGTCTCTCTTGCTTAAAGCGGATATAATAATAAGGGAGAAGCATGACTAGCAATGTTTTGTGAGGAGTGTTCCAGAGCATTGGGTCGGTGGAGCCTTGATCATCTATATCGCAGTGTCTGGAGGAGGTCAGAAAGCACGATCAAGAAAGATTTTCAGCGATATATCTGTTGCACGTAGTACATCAGTTTGTCTCGTCTAAATGTCTCAAGGTAGGATTTTCACACTGCTTGGTTTCATGATTGTCCTTTTCGGTCTTCACACAACCTGTTTCTCTCTTTCCCATGTCTCCGAGGTTGGGAACTTTATTGAGATCCGGTACTGAACTGAGGAACTGCTTCCGCCAGAGATGGGACTAAATAACCAACAAAGACTCATCTGGACCATGGCCTTATACCAAAACCAAACAATTGCACCCAACACAACGACTGATGTCCAGTGAGGATAGCTGGACACGAATTCCTCACACTCCAGCAAGTATACAAAATCAGAGAAAGTGAGACCCCAGATACTCTGGAAATTTTACTTACCTGCACAGTTATTCCTCCTTCTGGACTGGCCGAAACCTCTATGGCGCGCTCTGACTGAGCTATCTGATCAGCCAAGAGACGGGTCGTTCGACTGCACATTACAGTGTACAGATGGTTGATTAGAGGCTTTGTCAGATGTACATGACCGTTCAAAACAATTAACGACAGTGTTCCAGGACGTGGTGGCTTTTCGTCTGGCAAACGTTCTACCTACAAAAAGCCACAAAATTCCGTTTTTCAACACTGTGATGTGGCGGATGTGACTCGCCACCGAATAAAATCCCTGCCCACAATTACACACTGGCATATTGACTAGAGTCATTCTACACTATTTGATTGACAAGTAAAAAACTCTCAGTCTTCATACACTGTCATCACTTCATCTACTGTGCTTTTCCTGTTTACGCTACGCACACGAATCTAGTTCATCTTCACCACGCTGGCGATTTTGCTCCTCATGAGTACTTCTTCCGTTTCTGCAACTTGTACAAGTTTTGGATACAGCCAATTATTATTATACACGTTAGCTGCAGGTGAAAGACACCTCAGCTATTGTAGCGCAATACAAAAGACAAGAAAAAGAAAACAAACAGTGGCACTCCGGCTAAGTCCCCAGTAACGGATGGACATCGTTCCGGAGAGCTAAAAGCTGGCTATCGTGCCGTAAAAAGAGAGTCATATTATGTCTAACGAGTGGGATTGAAGGGGATGCTAAGCAGGAGGGGGATGGACAAAGGAACTCACAACCCAAACGCCATTGGGGACGGCTCCAAGCCATATCAACAAGTGTGTCCAACCAAACGTGTTCACGGACCTTAGGACCCCAGCCAGGCAGTCAGGATGCACCAACCCACGCCTACTTCGAAGTGAGGTTTTTCATCTCTTTCGACCAAATCATCACTTGGCCTTCCCTCCTCCTCTTCTAACCGCGCCCCCGGCGCGAAAACAATGCACGTCGCGGAAGTCGGTGTGCTGGCATGCGCAACATATTGCCCAGTCATCGGAACCTGGTGCGTGATATAATGGTGCTGAGCATGTCACTCGCTCTCCCTGCACCAAATGCGAGACGCCGAACACGCTCATTGCTCACGTGGTGCTCCCATCAGACATGAGCTAAGCAGCGAAGGCAGCGATGCTCGAATCTGACGAGCCACTTTATGTCTGTCGACCTGATGGGCCAGGTTTCACGACCATATAGGAGAGTTGAACGGACGGCTGCGTTATAAACTCTGTCCTTCAGGACAAGAGTAATGTCGCGTCTGCGCCACAGCTGGCTACAGCCAATTGAGTGCATTGTAACCTATCGGTTGCGCAACATAACTGCTTTTAAATTTTGATTATGCCTTAGTTGACGTGCTTTGACAAGTTCGAAAATAAGCTATTTATTTTTTATTTACTTGTAGTAGGATGTCAAATCCTGTTGCGGTAGTGGAACCTTGCGCCTTTCGCTTAGACGGAAGTTTATTGCATGATGCAAATGCTCTTTGCAAAGGTGCTTTTTCCGCCTTGATAACTATAAGCCCCGAATTGGATCTCTCTCATAACGAAGCGTTTTGGTAGTATCGACTTGGCCAGCCCTTGGTCTTTAAAGGTGTTAAGTGTAGGGCAGCAAATACATTTGGATGTTCTCCGTAGACGTTTAATTTCGAAGTACTCTGGGGTCATGTTGCAGGGACCGATGAGCGAGTGTTTCACCTTCTCCAATTTGATCTTTTAGGGGACAATGAATACGATTACATTTGGCAGAAAGTAGAAACCACGATTAAACTTCGCACAATAATCTGCCTCGACGGAGAAACAAATCCCGGACGTACGGATTACCGGTCCATTGCTCTACCAAATGAACTACCGAGGACTGACGATCAGGTGCGCAATTTAATACATGACTTCTGCTTGATTCGCGAAAGCTTATTGTAAAGTTTAATCGTGGTTTCTACTTTCTACAAAATGTTTACTACACAAAAATGCACCAATAATCTAGAATATCAGTACGTTATGTGTACGACGAACTCGTTCGGAAACTGCGTTAGCAATGTGTGTAAGTAGTTCCCCTTCCACTTTGTGTTCACTCATATCATTGGTCACCATCTTTAAAGCACATTGGCTGTTGAACGAGGGTTTCGAGAGTCTGTGATGTTGCGTTGAACAATGGTTCTGGTAGTGAACAGTTTGCCTTGAATGGGAGCTAGTGTCTTGTGTATTTCTGCGTTGAGGTCTTTGTGCGTAACGTTGTAGTTAAGCCAACCCCTGTAATTGAAGTAGTAAAGGAATTACGTACCGCAAGTATTTGCTGATGAATCTGCAGTAAGTGTAGTGTTTTTTGCTACGGCTTATAAGCCAAATGCAATAACGTGACTAAGGGGCGCAACTCACCTATGTGTCGTGTCACAATGACTCCGTACACAAAACGTATCAAACAAACTGTCTGGTGATAGTTGTTGAATAATGAAGGCGCAATGGAGTACTTACCTCCGCTTTCAATCGGAGCGTTTGGGGAGCACACGCTGCTACAGGAGATTGGACTGGATGCACATGTCCTTTGAAAAATTCTAATCGGCGGTGCGTCTTCACATGCAACATCAGTCGGCTTTTGATGCTTACTGTAAGTATCAGCGTGTTACTGCGGTCGCTTCATGCGTTGACTGCAAAGCAAGCGGTGTTGGTCAAGGTGCATAACCTAGTCAACCTCTTGGGCGGTGTACCCATCATTAGTGTTTCGTCTGTGTTCGTGGACATCGCAACGTCACCCTTTGATTGTCCTAAAAAGTAAGCGTAATGGAAATCATCTTAAGAATATGCGAGTTATCACAACAAACCTGTACGACGCAGAATCGTCACAGAGTGCATACGATCGTGTATGCTGGGTTCCTTGTCCGTTTATCAAGACTACGACGTGGAAGATGTGATTCTTTACTGAATAAAGTCACTGCTCGTAAACTCACACTGTAAAGTTAACCAGAACGACCTTTCACATCATCACAATATTTTTGATATGTACACTAAAAAGACATTTCCCTGTTTCTACATTCCGTTTCCACTCTACATGTTACGCTTTCACACATTTTTGATTCCAGACTTTTGCCACATCATTAAAGATTCCGTTCCTGACCAGTGCATCGGCCATTTCGTTACCTTCGGAATATTGTGCGAACCGCGCACTTCATACAAAGCAGCGTGTCTGTTGCCAAACAATCGCTCGTAAAGTCTTGAGCATGCGAGAATTGATGTACAGCGAAGTATACGAGAATAAATTATTTATTTATGTGCAGCTTCGTAATATTTATGACGTGGTATGTTGGGTAAAGCGGCTGTTAGTCCGTCAGCTTAAAGCCCGGTGCTGCTGACGAGCGCTTTCTCATTTCTTCCTTTGTTTGACAGCGAAAAAAGGCAGTATGTTTTGTCTTCAGTCGTTTCTGGAAGCATAATCACGGCATCAGCGTTGGCCGATGCGGCAGAAAGCAAGGATGCAACACGTGCTGCGCTAAAGAATAAGCAAAAGTGTCCATCCGGGAATGCTTGGGATCTATTTTGCGAAGGTATGCAACAAAGGAATAATGACACTGTAGTCCGAAACATGGAACATGATACGTTTGCAGATGATGGCATGCAAGTAAAAGGCAAGGATTTGTGTCCATTCTCGTGGCTTCGTATGCACCCAATTGGCTAGAGTGCAATTTGTGAACGGTGTATAAGTCTGTAACTCCAGTAAATGGCCGACAACGAATTGGTCCATCATTCCATCAGGCCTTAAAAATACTGTCAATTAGAAAAGTTCTCCTGCTATGTAAATAACGTCAAGGAATCAAGACGAGAAATGTACACCGTTTCGTACTTAATCCAGATGGCGTTTCACGAACACGTATTGCGAACCTTGCTTGCGTGACATTGAATATGCTTGAGAGGACACAAGGTTAATGCTCTCCGAACAACGGGGGATCGGTTTTGTCAGCGGATTTACCTCATTTCAAAGCATCTTTAGTGGCTAAATGTGACTCGAAAACGAAAGTGGAAAATTAGTCAATGGTGCCATGATTACGCACATCATCAGCGAGGAGAGTGCACATTAAAAGACAACCGGGTGGACCCGGTATTGACAATCGAACGTTTTCAACGCAGACTCCGCAAACATCGTAGCTGAATATGATATAACAAGTGGATGGACTTATAAACAGACATAAGTAAATGTTTTAGGTAGAAATTTGTCCCATCTAGACTCACTCAGACAGCCTTAAATGTAATAATCTGCTATCAAAATGTTACGTAAGACAGCTGCGTCGTCATATAGAATATCATGCCGAAATCGGAAGCCTTCCACCAACGATACGGCAGTATGCGTTGACAGCACTACGTGAAGTCACGATTCCAGCTAGCGCAGCTTAACTGTAGTGACGCATCCAACTGATTAAGCTTCTCCAGTTTAATGGGAAATTTACTGGCCCCAGGTGCCCATAGCCACCACGAAATGATGTGTCTCATTACTCCGAGTCACGCGGAATGCACATAGTCACTGGGTAACGTTGCTACTATAACTTTGGATAGGCATTCAAAGGGAGAGGGAGCGACGCGCTAGCACGACCGGAAAGTCTTATTATTGCGTGCGCGACAGTCCGTTCGCGGTTGCGTCACACGACCATAAGTGTAGTATCCAAATTGAAAACATTTATTACAGCAGTTGTATTCAGAGTGGGCTTTTGGCATCTTAAAGTACGCTCGTGCGGACGCATCCCAGATGACTGCTGACAAAACTACCTTCGTTAGGAATGCATTTCCTGGAAATATTATGCCCACGTCGAGTAAATTCCTCCCTTCGTTCGTCAACGACGCCAACAACTCATTACGATCAGATGGCTTGCTTTGGCCACAATACAGACCAACGGCGAAGGGATCGAAAATCATTGATGCTATTGCGCGGCATAAAATGGACCATATTTGCATGCACGATGAAGCGAGGTGGGAACCCATTCACACGCAGTTGAATGTGTACCTCATCCAGCGGCGTTGTGATTTGCACTTGAAAAGCTGCCATCAAAGCCTTAGGCATTGCTATGTGCCCATATGAATCTGGTGGAATATAGCAACTTTGTGTTCAACTTGGCGTCTACAAAAGCATTCTCAAGCACTTCAGCAGATTTCGATGGAAAACACGAAGCAAAGAAAGAAGCCTGTTAGTAGCGTAGACAGATATTCCGAGAGCGGTCATCCATTGGCGAAGGTATATGCCTAGTGATTTATCCACAACGTCAGTTTCCTTGGCAGCAACAAAGGCTTTGACTTCGCAGACTCTGTACACTATCTATTTCTTGTTATTAAAAAATGCTTTTTACTATCTTATCCAAGGATTCATCTTTAATGCACAAGTTAGGTGCAGCTTCAACAGCTATCGGAGGAACAGGGAAAGGTGGCAAACAACATCGGTGTAAAACGTACTATAAGTCTGGGGTGAAAGAAACCTGCTGCTGGTAATGCTCTGCTAGCACTCCTTCCTACGTCCTTCACTGCT